TGATCCCGGGGGAATGCGGTGAAAATGTGCAAGAAGGCTGTGTGTGTTCATTATCCATATTGTAGGTTTGTCATGATGTGTCTTGCCGTGGCCCAGCACCTGCACTTATCGGAACAATAAACGTATTGCGAAGTCCGCCTTGGTCACTTTGAATTTATGTTCACCTACTCGACGGTATCGAGGAAGAACACTGACGGTTTAATGTATATAGTACAGGAACTTAGTTGCAGCTGTAGAAAACATCGTTTCGAATGTTCGCTATAGTAAACATCCTGTACTTTGATTTGAAGCCGTGTACTGCGAAACTTGTCCCCCAGCACCAGACTGCACCGTGGGACCGTACACATTTCAGGCCTCAAAACACGGGTGGGGTTCCGAGACGTCATGGCAACGCCTCTGAAGATAGAGAGTCAGAGTTGGAAGCAACACAGTAAATGCGGTATTTATGCTCCAGGCATTTTTTCCGCACTGATCTGCGTCCGCATCGTCTCACTGCTTCTCTGTTTTCTCTATGGGTATTCACTGCGCCTGGACATCGTCCAGAAGAAGCTGAGGACGACGGCAAACCAGTACCAGAACGTCGCTAGCAGCGCCTCGCAGCCGACGAACACCATAAAGTATAGACAGAGGCCTGTCAGGAAAACAAAGACGAGGCCTGTGGTGACGGATACGCCGTGCAGACTCGTGAAGATCCCATGGTAGACTAACCATGCCAACACCATGCCGCGCCGTCCCTTCAAAGCGCCATGCACCAGGAGGCTGTTGAAGAGCAAATGGGAGGCGAAGACGCTCAAGTTCACTACACTGACGATCATCAGCGCTCGTTCGCCGTCCGTCTCGTGCCACTCATGTATCATCATTGCAGGGTAGGCGACACGGGTGACGAAGAAGACGAAGGGCGGGCAGTAGAGCGCGTCAGCAGGGTGGTGCCGATGGCGATGCTGCCGTTCCGCAGGTTGAAACAACCGCAGCAGCCCCGCAGGCACATCCTCGCCCCTCGTTATGCTGTCCAGGATCAACAAATTAATCAGAAAAGTTAATGATAGAATGCGGCTGAGTAGCATGTAGTAGTATTTAGTATGATTTGACCCATCTGTAGCCACACTCAGTTGTTTTACAAATGCATCTGATGCAGTTTGATGAGAACATTGCAATGCCGTTCTCTGCGTGGTCTCAGACTGCTTAGCTTTTGAGATCTCAGGGCGTCTTTTGGGCTCCCTCGTTTGTAGGGTGCGTCTCCGCTCCCCCGTGGGCCCGCTTTTGTGTAGGGAAGATAGGAAAATATTCAGAATGACGAAGACTAAAAATTCGATAGCACGACGATCAAGAACTGTAGCTCGTGTTTGGGAACTGAATAAAAATACGATGGCTGGTTGTGAGGATGTTTGTTGTTCCGTTTTTCGGATTTTATGTCCTTTACCGGGTAGGTGCATGCTATTTTTCTGTCGTTCATGTTGGAACCCTGTCCGCGCCGTTACCTGTCAGAAAAGCGAGGGCCGAGCCGGGTCACGCCGGTCACTCACGTTTGAGATTTTATCACCTCTTTTGTTCGACTAGCACTCACTGAAACTACAGATGCGCTGGTCAAATATCTGTCTGCGGCTTACGTCCGCAGGACATCTCCCTGTCAATGAAATGACACAGTGGGCTGTTCATTGCTCAACATCTGTCCGGCCAGCCAGACAACACTGGCAGCCGTGATCAGGCGCAACACGCCGTCGCGTTCATCACCAACGCGCCGAGCCTCCGCGCTCGTCCGTTCAGCATCTGCCCAGCCTGCTCGGTCACGTCTGCCGGACACCGCAGCCATGACCGGGCGCCACACCCGGTGCGTTCATCACCGACGCGCCGAGCCTCCAGCGCTCGTCCGTTCAGCATCTGCCCAGCCTGCTCGGTCAGGTCTGCCGGACACCGCAGCCATGACCGGGCGCCACACTCGGTGTGTTCACCACCGACGCGCCGAGCCTCTGGCGCTCATCAGTTCTGCCGGCTGCCGCGCCTCACCGCAGAGATGTGCCGCGGGCGACTGACCCGGAGATGAGGCCTTGGAGCGGACAGCAGGACGGCCCGCTCTGAGGGGACCGGCCGCAGGATGGGAGTCGCCGGTACGTCCGTGGCCAGGGGTGAAAGGTCCTCCCCAGTGGCCGGCCCACGGTTGGCTGCCCCGGGGCTAAAACAGGCGGCGGCGGCGAGCCCGGCTCAGTTCGCACCGCCCGCTGCGCTCGGCACCATGGGTGATCGGTGGGTTCAGCGGAGGGCCCCGCTAGCTCTGTTTGGGGCGCTGCTCCTGCTCTCTGGACACCGGGTCAGGTACGTACAAACCTCCGGCGTACGCTTTGTGGCGATGAGCTCCACAAGGCGAAACTTGAACTCATATTGTGTTCTTCAGTCACGTCACGCGGTTTGTCAGATCCGAGACACATAGGTAGTTTGGCAGGTATTGGTGAATGGGAAGAGCTAGTGTACTAATTTTATTATGGGTTCGCCGATGTCCATACCTGCAAATAAAACTGTGGGTTTTCTTGGTGAGCTGTATGCAACTGATCTTTGTGAACCTCCTTCAGATTTCGCAGTGGTCAATAAAAGGCTTCGGAAAACCTGTTAATGTCGAAACGGTTTGAATGAGATTAGTTTGATTTCATATAATTGGAATTGTTTGAGGCATTGCGAGAATCTTAGCACATGTTCGTCATAAAAGACATTCTTAAGATGCCTTAACAGACCAGAGGATACCACCCAGACCCTGGCATGGGCGTAGTGGCAGGGACCTCGCGAGTGATGGTCTACCGACTTTTTGCGGATGTTTTCTATTAATTTACTGTTAATGGTTGGGGAGAAATTCCTTTAAATGACCTCTAATTGATCTATTTCTCGGGGTTGGGAGTTAAAACGGCCTAGGGTAGAAAAACGTATTCTGATTCTGCACATGACCACTTAATTGCGCTCAACACATGCGTGTTCATGAACAGTCTTTTTAGACAAATAATCCATGACGAACTTGACCGTTGCCACATACGATAACTCTGAAGATTGTT